ATAGTGTTGCACGGCGAGGCTGACCAATGTGTACTCATCAGTGTTCGAATGTAAACAAATGCCTTGTAATTATTGGCAACAAAACACGACTTTGTTCATTTATTACGATTTGCGCGGTTGACTTGTGGTGCTGAATGATTCATATTTAGTTGTTTTATCATAGATGGCATACACGTAAACATTTTCTAAAACATTTCAAAAGTGCATATTTGACAGCGTTGATGATTTTAATGTTACATTTTTTTCTTCTTGTGATCAAAAAACCTTGTGAATTATTTGTTGAGAAATTATATTTTGGATGACTCTCAACTACTACCACACCAAATTGTAGCTTACAATCTGTAAACATGACAGATTCATGGCAACATTTGTGTGTTCTGTGGTCAGCTGCAGCCGTGTTGAATCGAGTCAACCTTAAACGTTAATCAATTATATGTTGAACATTAACTTATAGAAAGTTTCGTTAAAATTTTGCTAACAGACATACAGAGCTGAGTCCAGTAGTTTAAAACGAGGCTCTCACTGGATGTGGTACCTTTCAGATTATGTGTTGGGGACTCTCGGCTACTACCGCACCAAACTTTAGCCTATATCAGCAAAAATAAGTGGACTACAGCCTTTTGTGCATTTGCTAGAATTTCTTTGCTATAGCAGCCATCTTGAATCAGGTTGACTCCAAATGTTAATCAGTTGTAGATGCACATCCAACGACTACATTCTGAATGTTTCCTTAAAATCCTCCTGGATGTTCTCCACATAGATTGCTAACAGACCAATTATGCATACAAGACCCCCCCCCCCCCCCCCCCCCAAGCAGCATCTCTGCATCCAAAGGTTCTGAGATCTTCATCGACGTTTGGCTCAGTCCAGATGGATTCTTTTGTCCAATGACCTCATTAGGTTCCTATTCGATGTTCAAAAGCAGCTAAAACGTGCACTTCGAGCATCTGTCTGGACGCATCCAGGCCTGATCTCGGCTGCTCCCCCCTTCCTCTCTCCTCCTCCTTCTCCTCCCTCAGCCTTTCTTCTCCTCATTGGCTAAATGAGCAGCTGTGCCAGGAGACCGAGACCCACGGAGCACCTCTTCTGGCTTCCATTAGAGCCGTGCGGTCCATCTGGTCGCCGGTTCCCTGGAGGGGGAAGCGGTCTGCCGCAGCTGAAGGCCTCTCGCTCGCGGCGCGGTACTGAACGCAGGCTGCTCCCAGTCTGAACCGCTGCAGATGTGCAAACCCAGGCTGAGCGTTTGAACGTGTAACTGGACTTCTACCAGGACCAGGAAGTTCTGCTTCATGTGACATGACTGCAGGAGAACTCTTTTTGGGCCCAGGTCTTTGTGACGGCAGATTGATGGGGATGACCGGGTCCAGCTTCAGGATGACTGATCCTCGCTGCAGCTCAATCGCTGCTCAGTCATTACAGATTATCCCCCCCACCTTCACTCATAAACAGATTACAAGTGTTTTTCTCACTGTGGCTTCACAGATTAAAATATTTGCTTCTATTTATATATTTATTTTCTCCAAACCGGGGGGAGGAAATGTATTTAAAGTAAACGATTTCATCTAATTGAATGTTTTTTTTTTTTCTATTACAGTCAACCAGTGGATTACTGGATTATAAAAGCATGAAACCACGATAATCCCAAACAGGTTTTAATATAATTTATACCCCGAAAATCTTTTAATCGTTTGCTTTTCTGTACTGGTTGAGGCAGAAGGCTGGAGCCGATCCCAGGTGGGCTACACCCAGTCCTGCATGGGGAAGCACAATTAAACTAAAACCTGGACAGCCATTTGATCAGTTTTAAAGGGATAGTTCAGATCTTTGAAGGTGGAGGTTCTGTGGAAAGGCTACAAACAATCATTATGTTACCTGTTGTAGATAGCTCCTTGGAAGGCCTGAGTTTAAAGAAACACAGTTTAAGTCTGACCGGATTGACGGGCTGACGAGTTTGAGTGGTGTAGAGGTCAAAGTTGATTGTCGCCATCATATGTTTGCATTTATACTCTCAAGAAATATATTCCAGTCCAAAGTAACGCTGCTAGCTGTATAAACTTCTATGGAGCCCCTGATTTGGTATATAAAAAAATCTAAATATATATGTTTTTTTAAGCTAATGTGCACAACATCAAGAGTATCCAGTGCAATTCAGCGTCTGTGTTTTCAGTGTGGAAAGTGAAATTAGAGATTTAATCCAGGTTAATTATTTTCGCAACATATATTTGGAGTGTTTTGGCATTATCAGGTGTATTTAGTGCTTCCCGGAAGCTGGATATTTATTCTTCTAAATTCATCCTTGTAGTTTTAGGACATTTGGTTGTCTAGAGCAGGGGTGTCAAACTCACTTACAAAAGGGGGCCAAAATTAAAACCTTTTTCAAAATAAGGGCCAATTTCAGAAACTGCATTACATGAACTCAAATCAGACACCCAACCTCTGTTCTTGGTCACAGGTTCCTCAACAAGAGTTTGATTGGTCCCATTTGATGTTCTCTGTTGTGCTTTCAGCATCATAATCAAAAATTACTGTAAAAAACTCAAGAGATAGAAATATTTTATGTTTCGCGTATCATCTTGAGGGCCAGATAAGATGTGACCGAGGGCCACATTTGGTCCCCGGGCCTTGAGTTTGATACATATGCTCTAGAGTATCAAGAAACATACTGAATATTAATTGTAAATAAACTCCATAGATTTTTGTCTAAATAACTATAAAAATGACAATGATGTAAAGGTTTATTAATCATTCAAAAAAAAGCTATCTGTAACAGGTAAGATGCTAATTGTTCACAATCTTTCCTTCCAACAGGTGATCAATTGCTCAGACGAATTTCAAAATGAGTGAGCTGGAGCAGCTTCGCCAGGAGGCCGAGCAGCTCAGGAACCAGATAAAAGTGCGTATTTAGAGTTAAAAAGTTACCTTTTAACATTAATATTGTGATGAGGGCTGCACAATATTGGGTTTTTGGCCGATATTCGATATATAAAAACTTATTTGGCCGATAACCGATACCAATACTGATCTTTTTTTCCTAGACCTACTTACAGAAACTACATAGCTTTCTCTGCTGTGGAATTAAAATACTACATTATTCTGCATGGTCTTTGTCAGTTTGGCCTTCTACCAAATGCAAATGCCAAAAAGGGGACTGAGAATCATGTAACACTATATAAATATATAATATATATATACACAGGCATAAAAAAAAAAAAACAGTGCCTTTTATACGAGTTATTTTGATGGAATGGCTGATATCCGATATTTAACTTTATTGCTAATATTGGCCGATACTGATACCATGCCAGTAAAATTGTGCATCCTTAATTGTGATATATTTAAACTCAGTTTAATGTCTTTCATTTTATATCCATTAGGATGCCAGAAAAGCATGCGGAGACTCAACACTGACGCAGGTAAACACCACTGACATAAGTGCTGAGATAAACATCATTTTAAGAGCGTAACTTTAAGAATTGGCAATATTTTAATACAGACTGTTATAACTGTACTGTACAGGATATTTAAATAATTAATAAACAGGGTGTGAAAGATGAGTTCTTTTAATTGTTGGATGATGTTTAAAAAATCCCTTAATGTCAGAATTAGAAGTTACGCTGACTGTATTTGTTATTAAAACTAACTGGATGACCTGCATTCACCCACTGGTGGAGAAAATCTGTCATTATTTTTAAATGATCTTATACTTGTTTTGAATCATCACAGTGTTCAAGTTTAGCCTGATTGTTTTGTAGATTTGGATGTGGCTGCTAGCTTCTGTACATCCTGTTGGATGAGACGTGGGCAACATATGACCCGAGGGCCAACAGTGGACCTTGGACAATCTACATCTGGTCCCCAAAATCCTTTATTGAAAAGAAAATAACTTTTAAATAAGCTGATGAAAAACTTTTTATCAATGAAACAGGTTTAAATGAAACATTTTGAACAAATGCATCTAAACTTTTAGATATTAACTGGTTGTGTTTCCAGAACAAGACTGAACCTTAAACACTCCTAAAAGCAAACATAAAACTTTTTTTTTGTTGTAAGCTAACACATATGTTGTCACTGGAGCCAGTTTAGAGAAAGTATGTTTTCTTATTGGGATACATATTTGATCAAACATGCTAACTGCTACAAGGAAATCTCAGAACAATCCTCAAGATTATCTGTCTTAAAGAAAATTATTATTCAAATCTCTTTACGGCTCTTTGATCGTTTAATTATCTCAATTTGGCCCTCTGGGAAAAAATAAATAAAAGTTGCCCACCCCTGTGTTAGATGCTCCTCGGTTATTTCTGTTTTTAGAGTTTGTTGACAGCCACATCGCTGGAAAACCTGCCAGTCTCACACAACCTTTGTAAAATAAAACAATAATTGTAATAAAGCCTGTTTACCTCACTTAGATTGCTGCTGGTTTGGATCCCGTGGGGCGGATTCAGATGCGGACAAGACGCACCCTCCGAGGCCACCTCGCCAAGATCTATGCCATGCACTGGGGCTCAGACTCCAGGTGAGAGTCCAGAAGAAGTTGCACCCATAATTCATGCAAGGCAGCATGGGGTCTAGGAATAAGGCTTCCAGGAAGTTGTTCACAAGTAAACTGAGCCTGAGCCACTAATGCTCTTTGTGTCCTCTATCACAGAGCAAAGGAGGAGACTTGGAAATACCTCCATCCATCCATGCATGTTGTGAGCAAGATGGTTTGAAAAATAAGCGAGATGCCAATTTCATATTTGATGTACGGCTGCGTCTAAAATTTCCTTTTAAAAATTGGGTTGCCACGTAAAAATCCAAGATGGCTGCCACAATATATATGTAAACCAACCAATCCAATCATTTGAGGAAACTATGTTTTCTAGTTTTCATATTGCTTAAAAGTGTAGTTTCCTCAAATTATCGGGGGGCATATATTAATCTATGGTGGCCAAGGGCACCATTGGCCACCCCCTGGCTCCACCATTACATCTGATTGTGGATAAAGTTGCTCCCGCCACTCTCCAGGATCTGTCACTCTACACGACCTGGCACAAGCAAAAAAACAACAACAACAAAACTCCTGCCCACTTGAATATCTTGCACCAAAAACATTAAGGTTTATTTGCATTCCCTGTTCAATTCGAGCTGTGAAATGCTCCTCCAGCTGTTTTTGTTTTGAACCACTCACTGTTTCAGCCTTTTGTTGCACTGGTTCAGTCTTTTTAAGAAGGGCTGCAGCCATAAAAAAAAACAAAAAAACTTGTTTTTCCTTAAAATGGCACAACTTCTTAGTGTATTTTTTTATTATTATCCATTGTAAATAAAATACAGGTTTATGTCATTTGCAAACCTCAATTTTAAACATCTTGTTCAAAATTGGGGTTGTAATTAAATTGCATATTTAATTCTAGTGAAAGTAACCAAACACTATAACTGTCAACAACAAGACAGTCGTCATAGCTTGAGCTTTTTGAGGGATATTAACAAAAACAAACAAAAAAACCCCCATTATTTTTAATTCTCGTTAACTATATTTTTGAACGATTCAGGTGAGAGGATGGAGCCGCGTCTTTATTAGGACAATCTCCACAGGTCAAACGTATGGACGTTAAAAGAGAAACAAACTTAAATGTTTTCTGAATACGTCTGTCCTCGTCTCTGCAGGCTTCTGGTTAGCGCCTCTCAAGATGGGAAACTGATCATCTGGGACAGCCACACCACTAACAAGGTGAAGTGTGTGAAAATGCTTCTCACATGAGCTCATTAGTGCGCTCACTTGTCTGGACTGGAAGTGAGAGTTAAACCTTCTCCTTGTAGAGGAGCGACTGACTCACCACAGCTACTGACACATTATATTTACTGATCGACTGTCCACATTAAAAGGAGCATATTTATGTTTTCGCCCTTTTAATTAACAAAAATCACAAAAACAGCTACGATTCAGTCTGTTTTACAGTGAGCTTAAACTTGGTGTGATTTACCTCAGAGTCATGCACATTTTGTTTTTTTGTTCAAGATTGACAAACGTCTACAACTCTGTCATTTCTCATCACTAATGACCTGTTTGAAACTGGCGATACGCATTCCTTGAACGAATGCTCAGTCTACTGGGAGAGGCGGTTTTTAAAAAGATGGCAGCACAAACTGTATTTCAGCCGAAGTTAACAAAAGATGCATTTTGTTTTTTCCTTCCCAGATACACGCCATTCCTCTGCGCTCCTCCTGGGTGATGACCTGTGCGTACGCCCCCTCGGGGAACTACGTGGCCTGTGGAGGCTTGGACAACATCTGCTCCATCTACTGCTTGAAGACACGTGAAGGCAACGTCAGGGTCAGCAGGGAACTACCTGGACACACAGGTGAACACCTGGCTCTCAGCAGCATTAATATAGTTATTTAATGACCAGGATATCTGGTCTTGTTTGTGGAATTTATAAATTATATATTTATTCAAGCATATTTTGACAACATGTATATAAAGAGGTTAGAATATAATTTTTATGACTTTGTTGATTTTTATTCCACACAGGCAAACTGGGACTGGGAGCTCATTCATTTACACAATAAGTTAACCCTCAGAAGGTCTCATGGAGAAAAATCTGTCACACTTATAGTTGTTTGTGTTTTTATTTATTTATTTAGGTGCTCTTAATAGACACTTTTTTCCCTGACACAGCCTACAAATCCTAAAATTTCTTAATTTTGTCAGAATTTTTTCAAATGCTCCTGTAACCTCAGTGTTAAGTAAAAGAAAATTTAGTAAAAGAAAATTTACCATATTGAAATCCCATTATAAATGCATTTTCTGATCCCATAAGTCCATAGAGGAATCAAATAATAGTCATCAAATGCATTCGTTTCAGTATATTTTTAAAATTTTACCATCAACTTACCCTAGAAGAGACACGTCTTGCTCGACTGGACGTTGCTGTAGAGTTCTGGCTCTCGTCTTCTACAAACATAATTGAGTTAATTTGGATGTAAAGAGCAAAGACGCACTTGCAAGTTGCACGAGTAAACATTTAGTAAAAAAAAAAAAAGCACTCCCATGTGTATGCAGGCTGAAGAATCAGTTTGTATTTCCTGTTAAACTGTTAAATTTAGACAAGAGCTTCTAATACCATCATGACCCAGAAAAATATCAGTAATGATTATAATTGGAGGGTTGCCTGCTAGTTAAAGAAATTGCACAAAAAAAATAAAAAAAATCCCCCAAAATGCTCAAAACCAAATAAATGTGAACCTATATGTTTTTAATTTTGAAGCTTACAACCTTGTAACAACCTGTAAGAATAACTGAGTATAAATCCATAATACTTAAAAAAAAAAAAAAACTTTATACTTTAAATCTGTGTCCCACATTGTCTGGTTTTGTGTCAGACTTGTCAAACCTGCAGCGTTCCTGACCCAACTGGTTTCTGTAATCTCAGGTTACCTGTCATGTTGCCGCTTCATTGATGACAATCAAATCATCACAAGTTCAGGAGACACCACCTGGTGAGTCCCACAGGTCCACACCACGCAGCTCCAGCACGTTCCTCAGAGCTGCTTTAACCATTGACTCTTTGCTCCAGTGCATTGTGGGACATCGAGACGAGTCAGCAGACCACAGTGTTCTCGGGCCACACCGGCGATGTCATGAGTCTGTCGCTGTCGCCCGACTTCCACACCTTCGTGTCGGGAGCCTGCGACGCTTCGGCCAAGCTGTGGGACATTAGGGACAGCATGTGCCGGCAGACCTTCACGGGACACGAGTCGGACATCAACGCCAGCTGTGTGAGTGTGCACAGGGGACGACGTACCCTGTGACCAAACTGCGTTTTGTTTTGTTTTGTTTTTCCCCCACAAGTTAGTGCAAAAATTTCAATTCTATGAACTTGGTGGAAACTTTGCACTGGATGAGCACCAGTCTTTAACTGGCCGTTTAGAAAAGGAAGAAACTCGTTTGAAACTTCCTTGTAGTTGTGCACAGGCACTCTCAGAGGATTTTGTTGTCATTGACTTGCCCTGTTCTCCTCCTCAGTTCTTTCCCAACGGCAGCGCCTTTGCCACCGGCTCGGACGACGCCACCTGCCGGCTGTTCGACCTGCGCGCGGACCAGGAGCTGAACGTCTACTGCCACGACAACATCATCTGTGGCATCACCTCCGTGGCTTTCTCGCGCTCGGGCCGCCTGCTGCTGGCTGGCTACGACGACTTCAACTGCAACATCTGGGACGCCATGAAGGGCGACAGAGCAGGTGGGCAGAAAGGTCAAAGGTCAGATTAAAAAAAAAAATAAATTTAAGTTCAGCCTGCGTGAAGGTGAAGTGAGGTTGGAACCATGTGCAGGAATTAGGATCCGTTTTATTTTTGTGTGGTTAGCTTTTGTCCCGTCGCTGAGCACAGACCGGACTTGGAGATACCCTCCATCCATCTGTTCATCTTGTGAGTGATAAGTGAGGTACAGACTTCCATTTTGGTGTGTGGCTGCATCACGACATAAAATTTGGTTACCACGTCAAAATCCAAGATGGCCACCGCCATAGATATATATGTAAACCAGCCGCTCTGATCATTGGAAGAAACTATTTTCTAGTGTTTATATTACTTTAAAGTATAGTTTCCTCAAATGATTGTGGCGATCAAAGATTAATCTACGTGCAAGGCCACCACTGGCCACCCCCTGGCTCCGTCTTTGAACCTGGTGGTGGATAAAGGTGCTCCCTCCATCACTTTGCGCCACCTCAGAGCATGTTATCACTGCTACAAGATAAATATATTCTCCCTCCAAACCTTTATCAGCGAAGAAGTAATGTCAGACTTCATCTCTTGTGAAAATACTTTCTTTAAATTTACTTTAAATTGATCCTAATTTCACGCAGACATATTGGTGCCAGGGGTGCCTTTTGGAGTGTGGGGGGGGGGGGGGGGGGGGTTACTGGGTTTGGGCAATGGCCATCTCTTATAAAAAACGGTGCTCCTCTTTGGTCAAATAGTTTTTTCCTCTGGAGTCCCAAGCTTTTGCTTAGTATGTATTTTTTATTCCCCCTAGCTGTTTAGGATAAGAACCTCTTAAACATAGAAACACAGCTAGGAGTTAAAAATACAAATATTTATTTCATTTAAGATTTAAAATTAAACTTTAAACCAATGTCCTCAACATTAGGAGAGGACAAGCTTCAATAAGTTGAGTAGTGATGGAGCTTTACTTAAAAATACTAAACTTGACCCATTTGTATCAAAAGGTGATCCTCTAGATCCTGTATGTATTAAATTATATATGATAATAAAATAACAAATCTGCTGAAATTCTGTTCTGGCTTTTTAGTTTTGGTTTCCACCCCAGGATTTTTAGTGGCTCTCACATCTAGTGATCTCCAACTGCTGTCAAAGATTATAAGACTGTCGTACGTCGTCATCCTGTTACTACTGCCAGGTTTAAATGTGATAAACAGCTGAAACCCTGAGTCAAACACACACACACACACACACACACACCTTTAAGAAACGGAACACCTCTGTCACATGAGCGTCGTCCTCAGAGCAAAATATTTCATGGTAACGAGTTTTTGTTTTCCTGCAGGAGTCCTGGCCGGCCATGACAATCGTGTGAGCTGTCTGGGTGTGACGGACGACGGCATGGCGGCGTGCACCGGCTCCTGGGACAGCTTCCTCAAGATCTGGAACTGAGCCCCACAGAACCGGGGGGGACACGCAGGCGGGCCTGGCACCGCGCCACACTCTGAGGACCCAGTTTGTCCCCCTGTATTCACACTGTATTTACGATTTAACAGACAAAACTTCAAACATTTAACTGTACATACGATAAATGACTTGCATCTGAGTTTACACACACGCACACACACACACACACACTCACACACACACACACTGCTTGGACATGAAACTAAACTTTAAATGTGCTCACACTACCCACTGCGGACACACACACACATGCACGATCTGTAAAATATCAATTGTGACCAAATACAGTTGAGTATACAGCTTCTTTAATTACAACAAAAACACGACCACTGTTACCTGAAGCCTTTTCACACACCTGACGTCCACAGAGACATACGTCCTCCTGTCCTTCACTTAAACAGGAGTTTAATCAGACAACTCCGTCTTTGTTTACAGTAAACTTCACGAAACGCACTTGGAATTTTTTTTTTTTTAAATCTCAGCACGGTAAGAAATGACATTAACACTTCACTGACATGTGAGTCACATCGCCCACTCACTCGTTTCAACAAAAACCTACAAGTTTTATTTTTTGCCAATTGTTTTTTTCTTTTTAACAGTTTTGTTCATGTTTTCCCCGTGTGCCTCAGATACACTGATGATTAGAGACAAATGTAGTTAATAGAAATCATGAGACGTCAGAGAGGCTAAATGACACCTTAATAAATAAACAAACCACATTTAAAAGGGCCAGAGTCAGTATTCGTACTTTGACATTGTCACAGTATTATCTGGATTTTACTATGGATTAATTGTACATAATAAATATTAGCCTCTACTGCCAGATTTTGTGTGGTTTTTTTTAAAAACATTTTTAAAATACTGTGCTGAATGTCTTTCTGTTCATACAGTAAAAGGGGTTTATGTTTTAGGACGTAGGAGTTACAGCCGTCAGCCACAAGGTGGAGCTGCAGTTCACTCAGTTCATAAAACTTAACAGTGACGAGAAAGGTTAGGTAATGTCGGTCACCTGATAAAAAAATAATAAAAAAAAGCTTTTTGTTCCATAATTGTAACAAATATTTTCACATTTATTAAATAAAAACACCTAAAGGATTTTGAGATGTTTTAAGACACAAAAGTTGCTTAAAATGCCTGTGGCATTAATTTACAGTAGTCCATCGATTATCGTGGGGGTTACGGTCCAGACACCACCATGATAGGTGAAAAACCGCAACCTAGAAACGTTACATTTTAATATTTATATATATATTAAGGCTTTATAAACCCTTCCCACACTCTTGCAATGTTCTAAACTCTTAAACCTACGTAATTGTAACAACAATGTACTGTACAGTACTGAAAAATCTTACTCATCAGGTGTGCAGACCAGCAGCTCGGTTCCAGTTCGGCAGACCAACCCTGCAGTGACGAAGCCCACAGCCCCATCCAGGTTGATGAGTGCGTGGATTATTAAGCTTCAGGATTATTTGCGACTTTCATGCCAGCTCTGTGAGATGTGTTGAAAAACTTTCCCTCCGTTTCATCAGAAAGCAGCAGCCAGAAGCACTGTTGGCTTCTGGGAAGTGCAGTTCTTTTGAATTGCGTTACAGTATATATTGGAAGAAAACTACAAAATGGTGGTGCCTGTCTGAAGTATTTTTTTTGTTGTCCTGAACTTTTTATCCCGTACCGTCCCAATCACGTGAGTAATATTAAAGTAGACAATCGTGTGCCGTGTACAATCTTAAGTTGAAAAACCACAAAAGAGCGAGTCCGCGAAAGTCGAACTGCGAAGTAGCGAGGGACTACTGTATTTCAATATGAATGCATTTTTAGAACGATAACATATTGCAACAAAAATAAATAAAATTACTCCCCTGAGATGGACAGATATTTTCATGTGCAGTAACGGGAAGTGATGACCATAACAGGAAGTGATGACAGAGGGATGCCTGGTTAGCAACACAGACGGCAGAGAAGAAACTGATGTTTAGATTATTTTGAGTTCATCAATGACGGAGAAGAGTCAAGAGTTCATGTCATGTTTCAAGAAAGACCAGGAGCTTAGTTTGCCTTTGATGTCACTTCCTGTTTCACTTAGGCTGCACCAAGTTGATGTTTAGGAGATGGACGTCTGGTTTCCTTCCTGGACCTGCTGCATCCATGACCCAACCATGGAAGTAGAAAAAAGGATTTTACGGTTGCCAAGCTGACGGCGAATTCTAGGAATTACAACTCACCGACTGAAAAGATGTGAGGGGTACATTTGTTTTATGATCTAATCTTTCCGATTCTTTTAGGAGAGCAAATGTGGAAGCAGTGACTGGCATCAAAAATAACTTAGAAACTAAATGATTAACCTTTTTCTGATGTTTTGAGAATCTGCTTTAAAGTCCGTTATGATCGTTGAAGAAATCAGAACTGAACCAATTTTCTAATTCAGGGTTCAACATAAGCAGTTTCCGGTTCGTCTGGTGGACAAGCAGGTGAAATAGACAAGGATCAAAGTTCTCCGTCGCCACGACAAATTTTCATCATCTGGAAAAATGAAAGAGGAGGGGAGAAAAAAAAAACAACATGTTTTGTTTCGTTTAATTATTTTTTTGTTTGGTTTGGATGAAACTGACACTGCTTTCAACAAATAAAGAGAACCAGTCAGACTTTGACCCACTCAGAGCAGAGCGGGTCGTGCTGTCTGATACAAGGTGATGGAAGTGTTCCCACCTGCAGGTGAGAGCACCACCCCAAACTCCCCGAGACTTTTCTATCGAAAATCTAACTTTGTATTAAACATTAATGTGTTCTGATCATCATCATCATCATACAGACATGTGCAACTTGCATGTGAGACACTCTGGGCCCCTGAGCAAGGCCCTTAACCACCATCTGCTCCTAAACAGGTCTCTCTTGAAAATGAGTTCTCGTGGCTCAATGAGACTACCTGGATAAATAAAGGGTAAATAAAAAAAAAAAGTGATGAATATGAAAATTAATAATTTTAAATGACTACATGAGCTGAAATCCTGTAAATATAATTTTGAATGAAATAATTTTAGGGGGGAAATCTGTCAGTCAGGCAAATGTACAAAATACTGTAATATTATGTATTATCTGCAAAGGACTTCCCGTGCTTTAATTTATTAAAATAACATCAAAGTAAACTACAAAAGTTAAAACAGTCTCTTCCCTCAAAATTACGTTCATTACAGAACAATATATTGTGTACTTTTACTAAGGCCATGTACTCAGTATACTGTGTATTTTTACTAAGATCATGTACACAATATACTGTGTAATTTTACTAAGGTCATGTATACAGTATACTGTGTATTTTTACTAAGGTCATGTACACAGTACACTGTGTATTTT